CAAGACACAAATCTGTTGGCGCCTTCCCTGCTTCGGTGGCTCCTCACAACCTTCGGGATATAGTGCAGTAATAGGAGGTAGGTCCCAGACTTCGTTCCAATTTCAAAGCTACCTACAGGTGACTCACCCAGGCCTGCTCTCTCTCACTCTGCCTTTGCACATTTGGCCAGGAGCACCTGTACTCAGCTGCCTCCTTGACCACTCCTGCCTTCCTTAAAGGATGAACTCAGATGCCATCTCTTTTAGGGGGGTCTTCCCCAACTCCAAGCTGGATTGGGTTTATGTGCTCTAGTCTCTCACACTACCCTTCCATAAACGATCTTGAATTCATTTGACTTAACAAACACATACGTAGTGATTACTAGGTGCCAGGTACTGGTCCAGGTGTTTTATAAATATTAGCTTGCTGAATCCTTTGGCAACCCTATGAAATGGAACTATCATTGTCCCTTCTGGCACAGAGTGGGTAAATAAGTTTCCTGAGGTCACATAGCTGGTATGTGGCAGGACAGGGATTTGATCCAGGCATTCTGGCTCTAGAGCCCACATTCTTTCCAACCCCACTGTGCTGCTGCCTCTCACCTGTCCCAGCACACAGCACCCGGTTTTCCAGGGTGTCTACTTGTGATTCTTCTCCACTGGACAAACAGCTCCCTGGGGCCCTTGAGGGATTAAACTCAGGGCCTAACACACAGTGGAAACTAAAGCACAGTCACTAAAGAATAAAATGTCACATACTCATGGCACTGGATCAATGAGAAAAGATAAAATTCAGAAAACCTCAGCGTTTAAAGAGACTTTAAATGGGATCAGACTCAACGATCTGACCAATATGCTTCTCTTCAAAGAGCAGCCCTCCAGAGCCTGCAGACTCACTATCTGTGTGATAGAGGGAACACTATCTATTGCACCTCTGCATGGCATTGATTTTCAGGAAGTTCTACCATATGCTTAACTGAAATGTTTCTCCATGTTCACCTCCTCTTGCAGAGAGGGCCCTTCAGATATTGACAACAACCCTCGCTCTCATTTTTACAGGTTAGCCCTCCACTTTTCCTCTTTTTCCACTGGGAATCTGAATCTCCAGTTCACCCTCAGCATTGCCTCTGAACCTGCTCTGGCCAATCGGGGGCTTGCCCAAGAGGAAAACCCCAGAAATGGGTGCCATGTGCTTAGTATAAATTAACCCCATCATGGCCAATGCACTTTGCTTAAAAACAAATACATGTGTGATCTATTTCAAAAGCTTTCCCCACCAAGTGGCTGAAGTAACATAAGCTCTGGCAACTACCAGAACACCAGGAGCCCTGGTTTCTGATGATGGTACACTATGATGAAACTGCACTGATTTACTTAAAAGGTTTATGTCGGCTATGCTTCCACGAGCCAAGGGTTTTCCCACAGCATCTCTGTTCTCACATCAACCTTGCAAAGCAGCAATAATTAACTCTATTTTACAGAAGGAGGAACAGGACACACAATCAATCGCTTAGCAGGGAAGCTGACATTCAAACTACTACTCTAGAGCCTGCGAGCTCCTGTCACGCCGCCATTTTGGAAATGCTGGTCAGAACATGAAGAAGTGAGCATAAAATCAGCATTAAGGAAATGCAGGGGCCAAGGAGGGGAGTGAGTGATTACAAAAGAGCACAAAAAGCAGAAACATAACTCATGATTCCTAAGTCTTCACATCCTGACAGTCTTTCCTTGTTGCACTAAAGGAGTCTTTTAATTTGAAGTTATTTTTCCACTTGTATGTATTTTAACTGCAATAACTAAAAATATCTCTGCCTTGCCTGTTCCCTTCTACAATTCAAACATCAGGAATTTCAGAATGTCTCACCTTCTAACACAAAACACTAAGGACTTGAAAACATAAATGGAATTATTTTTATTAAAGACTATTATCATACAGCAAGTCACTAGCAGCATTTAAGATGAATGTATTTTGAGAAGCTACAAACAGTATCTCAGTCTCTTCTGTATTCCTTACTACTTCCACCTCCATAGTGCAGAAAAATGTCAAACACACATAAGCACTTAATAAATATATGTGGGTTCACTACATACTTTCTGTATCCAGAGGAAGATCTTTATTTAAGCAATCTGAGTTTTGAATTGTAACCTGGGCCATTTCTTTTTCACACTCAAACATCAGAAAAAAAGCTACGAACAAGACCAAATAAAAGATATCATTTCAGACAATAAAACCTTACTCTTAAAGCATGAGAAAACCAAGTTACATTGGTTGCCTCAAATATGTTACTTAAAATAATCATATGTGCTAATTTGGTCTTCAAAAATAAGTAAAAAGAAATGGTAAAGAACAAAAGCCCATGTATTTTAGGATAAGAATAAGAACATAAGAGTTATGTAAGCGTAAACCTGTGTGTTATGAATTAGTGCCTTTTCTTATAGCATAATAATCAGCAACCAATAAAGCAATTAAATAAAGGCAGCAATTAAACTCCATTTCTACAGAAATGGGGAAATTTCAAAGTTACACTTTACCTAGAAGAAGAAGAGCAGTAAGAACGTCCATATCTTAATATCCTTCTGATCTCCAACAAGGTATCCAAGAATAAAGAGCTCAGACCCAGCCAGGCTAATTTACCCTGCAAAATTTCCCTTAAAAAAGTATGGCTGAAAATTGGCTTCCCTAAAACAGAAGGTACTTTCAGAAGAGTTATATAAGCAAAACACACAGGCCAATTCAGTGACGTGGAAAGCAGCTCATGCAAGAGAAGTGCCACAAACACAAGTAACACACATTCATGTCTCAGAACCTGTCAGCCTCTCAAAATAAAGTCAGGGCTGAGTGTAACATCCTACCTCTCCAACCAGAGGATGGAAAAGTTTTAAGGAAAAGTTACGAACAATTAAACTACTGAAAACCTTACCACGCTTTTTGGAAAGGATTCCTATTTTACAGCTCATTTGCCATCTGGAATATTTTTAAACTTCTCATGCCCACCTTCTTTTGACCTCTTTTCCAATTCTGGAAGGATAAAATGAGTATTTTTAAATCTCTTTACTATTAGAAATAGCCTGTCATATGCACCAGATGTGTGCACGGGAATATGTCACAATTGGAAGTGAATCAAGGAAACTTCCTCAAAGGCTCTTCTCTTCAAACCACCTCCTCCTAGAGCCAAGCCTTCCCCTAGAGCCAAGCCTTCCCCACGCTCCTCTGTATACTCACGACATCCCACTCACCCAGCCACCTGCCCGTCTTTCCATCATTCAAACTGCAACAGAAATGCCACCTCCTCACACAGCTGTCCTGGGTGGTGTGGGTGCCAATTGCTTGTCTCCTACCCATCGGGGTGAAGTGGTTAAATGGAGAGAAGGCAGGTGACAGCGACAACACAATTCCTGGCATTGCATAGATGTTTTCTCAGCTTCAAATACACAGCAAGAGAAGAAAAGAAAATTAGGGTCTGTCTGCTTTTAGAGCAGGCATGGATTCATGCTTTCAGCACATTTACAAAATATTACTATGTGCTGGACAGTGCCGATTCCTGAGATACAGAGAGAAACCAGATGTGGTCCCTGCTGTCAATGAGCAGTCAATCTGGTAGAAGGAAAAGACACAAGAACTGAAAATTATAATACTGCATGGTTAGTGAAAGGAGGAGGCCAGGAGTGGTAGTTCACACCTTGTAATATCAGAACTTTGGGAGGCCGATGTTCTTACTACTCTTCTTCTAAGTAAACTGTGACTTTGGAATTTCCCCATTTCTGTAGAAATGGAGTTTAATTGCTCCATTATTTAATTGCTTTATTGGTTGCTTATTATTGTGCTTTAAAAAATGTCACTAATCTGTAATGCACAGGGTTATGCTTATGTAACATTTATGTTCTCACTTGAGCACAGAAGTTCAAGACCAGCCTGGGCAACAAGGTGAAACCCTGTTTCTACAAAAATATGAAATATTAGCTAAGTGTGGTGGTGCATGCCTCCAGTCCCAGCTACCCCGGAAGCTGAGGAAAAAGGATGACCTAAACTTGGGAAGTCGAGAGCAATGACCTGTGATCGCGCTACTGCATTCCAGCCTGGGCAACAGAGAAAGACCCTATTTCAAAAAGAAAACAAAGGGGAGGGGGCACAGAAGGAAGGAAGGGAAGGAGGAAGGGAAACAGGTTCATGGATTCAGGGCATCCTGATGTATATAAAAGAAGCACCAAATCCTTAAGGGTTCATGGAAGGGCCCTCGAGGAGAAGAGGCAAGGGCTGAAAGGGAAAGATGAGAGCGAGTGAGGAAGAGAACACTCTTGGTAAAGGAGCACCAGGATCTGAGCACAGAAGAAACAGAGACGGGCCACAGGAGGGCAAGGGGCCTCCCAGAAGACTATGCGCCACCACTGAGGGGTTGCCACTAAGGAGGTCCTGGGACTAGATCTGTGTCTGAACACAGCTACTCTTGGGGAAGCTGTGGTGTGCACAGAATTGGGGTCTGGCCTGGGCCTAGGAATCTCAGCAGAGTACACTGCATGCTGAGGCCCATGGCCTGGCTTTCTCAGAGTGCTCTAGCCTCGTCACAGGGGATTTCTGATGCAGCCCCTGCTGCCCAGGGGGGCGAGTTTGATACTAGTGACCTAACCTTCCCACCCTCCCCCAAACAACTCCAGCCCCGACTGAATGCTAAACAGACACCCAACTTTCAAGGACCCAACCAAAGGGCCAAACAGCTCTGCTCTGTGTAGCTCAGCATGAGAAGTCAAGCAGGGCCACTCAGTGTCTCCACCTGGGGAATCTGAACAAAAAATTTGGGAATAACCAGCACAGTTCAGGAGTTCATGCAAAAGTCAAAAAAGCACACCGAACACTGCTCAGTGGTTTAGGATCCCTCCTTGCAACTGGCTACTGTGAGTGCCAAAAACAGAAAGACTTCATTGTCTTCAACCTCATTGTTCATTTATAAAACAAGGCTCCGGGGCCTCCTTGTTTCCTACGAAGCCCCTACCCTCCCACGACCTGAAGTGCCCGGCTTACTCACAGAACTGCAGGCTGAGGCTCACAAAGGCCAGCAGCGCAGCCAGGGCCAGCAGCAGCAAGAAGCGGTTGCGGAAAAGCATTATTAATTATTCTATTTTCTCTTCATGGTTTCACCTCAAATCGGGAACATGTCCTGTGAATAAAGCAGAGGTGATAAACGAAGTGTTTAGAGGTGGAAAACCAAGGTTGTCAACTGAAAATAATCTGATTAGCCCAGTCCCCTGGCAGCGAAGCATGCATCTCTAGCTGGAGAACAACAGCATGCTCTACGGTTAGTCTTTGCCCCCAAATAAGCCAAAGCGAGAATGCTCCCTTCCAGTTAATAAGAGGAAACAGTTCATGAATGCTTTGTTTATCTGACATCAAGAGGGAATGAGATATTTTATAGACATGATCTTCCCAAGGAAAAATGCAAAGGATGTTTATTGAGAATGTACAATGTGTCCGACAATGATGAAAATTTTCACGTGGACTCACCTCGCTGTGGCCTTTAACCTTTAAATCTTCAAAAATTTTTTGATGGACATTTAGCTGAAATGACCTTGGTCTTCTTTAATTGTAATTGTTAATCTGAACACCAGTTCTTGCAACGTGTCCCACAGCAGTGCTCATGGGGGTGGCTTGGGTGTGGAAAAGGATTGACTAGCTCCATCTCCTCATCCAGACCTCCCTTCATCCCGCACCACTGAGCCTATTTCAGTTGGCTTAGTGGTCCAGGGGTCTTTTGGAAGCCTCGTCCTGCCTATTCAAAATTCCTCTAACCACATTACAAATGTGCAAAAGGATTTTTTTAAAAGGCTGAATAAGGTCCTAAATGTCTCTTCTGTGAAAAAAAAAAAAAAATGAATGACTACTATAACTTTTACCCTATCCGTTTTAGAAGTCAAGTTTATTTCCTGGCTCTCTTTGGGATTTTAAAGAGAACTTGAAAACCATAATCTCTTTAGAAAAGGTTCTTAAACTACAGTTCGATTGTGACAGTAATTTCAAACTTTTGAATCTTTCCCCCATTCAAATATAATCTCCTTCAGAGACCAGACAGGCAAAAATCAGATAAAAGCTCATCTGCTAATGTGTGAGGGCTGTGTGACTGTGAATATCACTGACTATAGCCATTGAGCTGTACACATGGGGTGAATCCTATCTCAATAAGCTACTATGAAAAGCATGTCTTTTGGGAATGAAGCAGGAGCCAGACTCCCAGAGCGCCCTGCCTCCCACCTCCTCCCCAAGGGCCCAGCAGGTGAGTTTGAAAACCCACTTGTTTAAAGGACTTGTCAGACTTTCTACCAAAAGAGAATATTTGCTAACAGACTGATGAAAATACACTTGCACCTTACAATTGAGCCTGTGTGTCTAGCAACCAGCACCTCTGTTAACTAACAGATCCCAATTTCATTTTATTTATTTACTTTGTGGTTTTATAACTCTGTTTGGCATATTTGACAATCAGCAGTTAGTTCTCTTCCACATTGATTAGATTTTGAATGTGGTAACAGGTACATAGGTAACCAAATATGGAGCTTGTGTGTTGAATCTTCATCCTCATTACGTTTCCTGGACAGCCGCACATGGTGGTATGGGACGTGTCTTAGTCCTCTGGCCCAGATAGCTTTGTTGAACCTGGTATCATCAATGTGCACCTCTGGAGTCCCCCTCTGCTTCAATCTCTCTGAGTGCTGGAGGGGCACGCTTCATGAAGCCTGCTCCATGAATATGCTTGTGAATATTGGTGGTGTATTTTCAGGTCACCATCTTGTTAATGACGGAATGGCCCTTCTTCTCACCACCCTTCTTCATGGGAGCCCTCTTCCCAGACCCAAGTTGGAAAGGAAGAGCTGGGGGGAAAACGCTTCTGTCCCCTGAGTCACTTTTGGCTTGGCCAAGGAATTTGCTTTGGCCAATGGGACAATAGCAAATGTGTTGCAAGGAGGGACCTGGAAAGTGCTTATGCACTGGGGCTTGTCTTCCTTTGCTACTTTTGCGACACTGAGATGACAATGTGAAGACCCTAGGCCAGACTGCTGGGGGATGAGAGACCACATGGAGCCAAGGTCAGCAGTCCCTGCTGAGGCTCCCTTCAAACAACCAGTCTGCCGTGGCCACACCTGTGAATGAAGCCATCCCAGCCCACCCTGCTCCAGCCACGCCACCAGCAGATGGATATCAGTGGCCTGTCCAGACTGAAAGAACTGTATGCCGAGTCCCCAGAATCATAAGCAAATATAACGGTTGCTGTTTGAAGCCAGTAAGTTTTAAGGGTTTGATACAAAGCAAAAGCTAACTGATACAATAAGGAGGAAATGCCTTGCATCTTTACCAGGCTATTCTAAGCCAGGATCTAGATCTCACTATTCTCATCTGTAGGCACGACATGAAAATCTCCATCTTGTCTTCGTTCTTTAATACGCTGAGTGCTTTTTGGGAAAGAAGCTATATTTAGTTTTAGATTTAAATATGTTAGGTGAACCAGATGGCTGGGATCGTGTAGCTGCCTGACTGCTTCCAGCCTGCACTGCTGACATCTCCACCTGTCTGTGACTTTTCATTTGCTGAACAGTGGGACCATTCACCGTTCCCCCTTGATACTCTCTGGCGTCTGCACCCTCCCACTTCTGACTCTCCTCTGACAGCCTCTAGCATGGTCAGCGTTTCCATTATTTCTGCTTGTGCTAGGGACTAGTCTGGTATGATCACAGCCCTAGGGGTGTGTACGCAGCCTGGGCAGAGGAACACTGAACCCCAGGATAAACACATGCCTTCTTCCCGGATCACAAGAGTCCATTTCACTAGAAAACTTGAAGGTAATGTCAAACTTTAGTCTTAGTTTTTTAAAATGGCTAAATAATGATGATAGGAGCCAAAATTCACATGGATTTGAAGAAGTTTGCAGCTGAAGGTAGGACCCCAAGGAGAAGGGGTGTGCATGTGCGCACACGCATGCACGTGCCTGTGTCCAACATGGGAAGTGGAGCGCATGGTTCTGTTGCTGTGGGTGTTTCTTTGCTGGGGACACTTCTTCAGTGGAAGAGACCAAAAGGAGCCCTAATGTGGTGTGAAGGACGAGGCTCCAGAGACTGGCAGATCTGTGTTCAATTCCCAGCTCTGCTGCTTATTTTCTGTGTGTCTTGACAACTGGCTCCACTTCTCTGAGCTGCAGGATCCTACTTTTTAAATAAGACTAGGGATAAGAGCACAAAAGAGCAGGTGGCCATGGGGAACAAATCTCACAACAGGCAGAGCACGGCTGTTGAGCAGATATGTACCATATCTGACTTCCACACTCTGGAAGAATCACACAGACTGCTATGCCATGATCTAAACATAAGGATTCACTCTTTCCCCTGAGCTGTTGCTTCTGCCTCATGCTGTGGCTCTGCTTTCAAATCCTGGCCACTGGCCCCTTCCCTACTCACTAGTCCTAGCTTCCATCAGCACAGGCAGCCGTGTCAGCAACCACGTCCATGGCTCCTCTGTGACCACGAGCCTTCCTGAGGGCTGACTCAGCTGTTGTGCCCCTGCCTTGCCCTAGGTTTTCTAGCCTGGAACATCTGTCTCAGCTTCTGTTGGGCCCCACCCGAAGATGATGAGGTACCAGCCAACTGGCTTTTTCTGGCACTGTGGTCTAATCTCCAGCCTGAGTTTTCCAGACCTCCCTTTCCCCCTCTCCATCCCAGGCAGGAGGCTCCTGCAGCCGATTAAGAAGTCACGCAGTCCCTGGTTCCCTTCCTGCCATATTCCCACACTTCTCCCCATAGGAACTCTGAGCCTACCCCTCGGGTCTATAGCAGCTCCTCGAGACACCTGGTGAGACTCATACAAGTCATACCAGGCGACAGCCAGGATTCTGAGTCCAGAGCAGAACCCCCACAGCCTGCTTGTGCACAGCCCTAAAAATAAGATCCACAGGAAGATTCCCTGCTGCACTGGCAGGGTGAGATGCTATGGGATTACAGCTCCCACATCTTCTAATCCCCAAACATCTCTCAAGTCCCATCACCTCCTGTGGAAAAGATGCTCTTGGCTCAATATGGTATCATGACCAAATCCAATTCCTACAAATACTTCTGTGAAAACAACTGTTACATATCCAGGCTGAACAAAAAATAGTTATTAGTCCTCAGATGTCTATTGGGCACAGCTGTGGTTCCCTGTGCTAAACCCACGTGGTAAAAACATCTTAAACCTAGAAACTGAATTATTACTCTGAATTCCTGATGAAACAGCAAAAACCAAACAAAAAACAGAAAACCCAGCTAACTCAATTCAACATTACTACAAGTCTGAGCCATGAAAGAAAAGATTTTAAAATACAATTTTGAAATACAGTACTAGTTCATAAGCAGTTCCCATTATGTTATGATGAACACCATTTCTGATTTAGAAGGAAAAAAGAACTTGTCAAAGGCATTTTTACAAGCTACTATTCTACTACCAGGGAGTTCCAGAGCCCAAGCCTTGGCCTAATTTTTACCTTGTTAGAGCTGAAAACACCACATCTAGTGACAGACTCTGGGTCAGGCTCTCCTTCAAAGTGTACAGAATTTAGGGATTTAAACATGACCACAACTGCTAGAAAACAAACATTCATTTACCTTTCATTTGTGCAGTTAAAATACCATTACCAAGAATAGAAAGATAGTATTAAAGAAAATGCTTTAGATGTATTCTACATGTTGATTTTTTTGGTCAGAATCATTTTGGCCCAAGTAAATACAGCAATATAATTTTTAAAAAATCCCCAGAACTTTGGGAGGCCGAGGAGGGTGGATCACGAGGTCAAAAGATAGAGACCATCCTGGTCAACATGGTGAAACCCCATCTCTACTAAAAAATACAAAAAATTAGCTGGGCATGGTGGCGCGTGCCTGTAATCCCAGCTACTCAGGAGGCTGAGGCGGGAGAATTGCTTGAACCCAGGAGGCGGAGGTTGCAGTGAGCTGAGATCTCACCATTGCACTCCAGCCTGGGTAACAAGAGCGAAACTCCGTCTCAAAAAAAAAAAAAAAAAAAAAACTTCATGTCTGCAATTGTGAACAAAACATGAGCCAAGAAAAGGTAAAAGCTATATCTTAATAGTTCTCCCTCTCCAAGATTACATCCAAGTGGAGTTTAATTGCAAAATCAAAGATG